CCCCCCCCCATCAATGTGCCCCCCCCCCCCCACACACACACACACACACACATTATAAATGCTTCTGACACCAGTGGCCAACACGTTACTAAACAAGTACACATATGGTGTCATGTAGGGGTCAAAGTGCGTTTGACTTAATTCAGTCTTGATGATTTGTGTCAATGAGCATTTGGAGTTTTATACATAAAAATACACTTGATAGTTAGAATTTTAGATATATTTACTGTATATTATGATAATTTATTCTGTATTTTGCCATATTATGGTGATTCTGGGGTCGTGATGATGGGGCCCTTGAAGATTGTTGCCCAGGGTACAGCGAAGTGTTAATCTGGCCCTGGATCCAAGAAGGAACAAGCAGTTAAAAATGATGATGAATGATGATGTTCCACCACAAAGAAATGTCTTGCGTAATCAAGATGAAACACTTCATTGGCTTCCTTCCACTTGTCCATTATAGAGCTGTTGAAATCAGGGAGGGATGAGATAGTGTCAGTGGGCTTTAGTGATGAATTAAATCTAAAAATATGTATTTGGTTTCAAACTCAAACAGCTGTATGTTCTGGTTGTTGTGTGTCTTCACCACATGCATGTGAAAACCGTTGCTTACGTAATGTAACCCCAGATTCTACGAGTATAGGCGTAGCCCTTTAAGAGCTGTCGCTGGTGGGTTTATCCCGTCATGCAAAGCATCGCACTGAAAAAATTTAGTCCATGCCCACCTGCTGTGTGGGCCCCACCCAGTCCGTATAAATTACGTTAAGAGCGGGTAATCGGCTCCCAAATAGCTTTTTTCTTCAGCCATTTAGGAGCCAGTGAGGCCCGACGCTTAAAGGGCTACGCCTATACTCATAGAATCTGGGGTTACAGTACGTAACCAACGTTCTATTTTGTATAAGCTTCGCCCTTGAAGAGCTGTCGCTGGTGGGTTAAAGGCGAAGCAAGATGTGGTCTCCGCCTCACTGGGTACATTCGAACACCATATGAAGCGCCCGCTTGCCCAAAAAAACATCTGGTCACTCAGCTCTCCATGTGCGTAAATACATGTTGCATAATTACACGCACCATGCACAGACACGCGCTGCGTAGTTACGCGTTCCGACTGCATGAACGCCCCCAGAAAGGTTTCCAACGGGAAAGAGGAGAGGCTGAAAAGGCTGTGAAAAGAGCAGATCCACGGCTCTTCAATATGAACAGATTAATAATAAGTGAACTGATTATTAATCAAATCAACTGATTGATGACAGAAGTCATGAACTGATTAGTGACCATAGAACAAGAACAACAGTCATAACCTGTGACTGCTAACAACATCTCACACTGTAATGCATGCAGTCAGATGTGAGTTTAAACGAGATTCCATGAAACAACAATATTCATTCTGTTAAGGCACTAAGGACAGAATGCGTCATGGAACAAGCCGACACATTGCGTAAATAGAAGCGAATAAATGAACAGGGTGTTGACTATGCGGCCGCAGTGCAAATATCCTGCATTGTCATACCATTATGCAAAGCAGTCGAAGATGCGATACCTCTGGTCGAATGTGCCCTGAGGTTGTCAGGAGGCTCAAATCTGATGCTCTGGAGGCTTCAGAAATGGCCTCACAGTTATCCATCCAGTGTGACAGGCACTGGATGGATAACGGGCGACCTGCAGATGCATCTCTATAGTGCACAAACAAATGTTGAGTCTGACGCAGTGCCACCGTGCGTGCTACATAACATGTCAACGCACACACAGGGCAGAGAACATGGAAAAATGCTTCTTCTTCTGATTTGTGGGGAGGAGGGAAAAATCCCTCCAACGATATCGCTCTTGATTTAAATGAGCTTGTGATGTTTTTAGGCATAAACACTGGGTTAGGCCTCAGATCAGCTGAGCTGCCATCAGCCTGAATTCTGAGACATGACGGAGCGACAGAGAGGGCAGAGAGATGAGCATCCGCTCAGCCCTCGGTGTCACGAGCCGTCGTTCCGACACGCTCAACAGGAGGAAGTGAGCAGTGGGGGCTGCTGCTGACGTCGCCTGTCACGGAGGAACCATCCGATTCGCTCCGAGAGTCGGCGATAAAAGGAAAAAAGGGTCGATGGCGTCGTCCAGCGTGTAGCGACCCGCCACTGAGAAATATTCCTCGGCGCTTACCTTGAAACAAGGCTGCTCGTCTGCTTCTCCTCGGGGAGGAGAACTCACCAGGATGGCAGGAGGTTGGCGTGGCGGGACCCCAGGCAGCCTTAACAAAGGTTGTGCCGGTCAAGCTGGACAAGTTCCCTTCTTTGTTCTTCTGACAGTGCTATTAGCTTGCTGAAGAAAAATGGGGGCCGATTACCTGCTCTTAACGTAATTTATACGGACTTGGTTGGGCCCACACAACAGGTGGGCGTGGACTCAATTTTTCAGTGTGATGCTTTGCATGACGGGATAAACCCAATTGCAAAGGCCTCAAAGGGCGAAGCCTATACGAAATAGAACTTTGTTTAAAAGTTTAAAAAATACATAAAAACTAAATTTCTACATGATCATGATGATGTACAATAATTGGTTAAGAGATGCTCATATACACAAATTTAGGACAAATGACATTTTGTTGTACCATGTAAATGAGACTTAATGTTCTGAGTTCATAAACAAGCACACAGTCTAAAGAGTAAGATATTAAATTTATCTGCTCCAAAGTACACCATTACATGAATATTCTTCAGTTTTACTGAAGATGAATAGGATTAAAACTTTAACTTTTTTTTTTAATTTGCTGAGTGTTTCACTTGAATTGTTATTTAATGTGAAAGCAGGAATGACAAGTTAAATTCAGTTTATACACGCTGAAGATTCAGCTTAGGCTTTTAAGTTTCTTTCAATATAAAAACAAAATAAATGCTTTAAAATGTTTGTATTGAACAAAGAGGCTTGGATTTAAATTAAAATTGGACTAGAGAAAAGCACCACCAAAATCAATATATTTCCTATTTGATCACTGTCTTTATTGCTGACACTTTTACTATAATATAATTTAACTGGATTAATTCAGCATGTTCAGGTTAGAAACAAAATTAATAAATACAAAATTCAAGTATGTATAAAAAAAGTTTCTATAAATGTCAATAACAAAACATTAACTGCACCAATTCAGTTTTCCATCAATCAGAGTGCATACTGCAATTTTGCTGTCAGTTTGCTGTTTATTAGTTAAACTAACATGTGTGAAACAAACAAAATGCAAAAAATGTTTTTGTTCATCGTTTAAGTTTTCTAACTGGTCCCAGTCAGACGAAACATTTCCAGTGGTCAGCTTTGACAGGAAGCTGCTGCGCCATGAGCCTCCACCTCGGCTGTGTTTGCTGCCTCCACAATATCCACACTTCACGGGTAAACATGTAAATACAGGAGACTGGTTTTTATTTTAGTGTCTGGGTAAACATGTAAGCCAACTGGAAAATGAGGTTTGGTTGAAATTTGTTGCGTCTGAAATAATTTTCGGAAGGAAAACAGACGGAAATCCCACCGATCAGCGACGAGATCCGCGTTGAATCGATGAAGTTTGAAGCTAAAAAAAACAAAATGTGGAGACGATCAGAGCTGAACACGAAGAGAAACAAGTCCTCTAACGAGCTGTGTCACTGTCAGCCTGCAGCGCTGCTCCCACACTCACCTCTTTACACTTTTCTGTCGAGGAGAAAACACAAACACGAGCCGTCCATGTTGCTCAGAGGAGTCGCGAGGAGCGTTGAGTCTCCACGGTTCTCATGGTGTGTTTAAGTGCAGCGCACCGCTCGGAGTTTTCATGACAACACTCGACTCTCTCGTTTAGTTGAAAGCAAGAAAAGAAGAAAATGGCAGAAGTGGCTCCAGCAGCTCCCGCTCCGGCCAAAGCAGCCAAGAAGAAGAGCACGAAGCCGAAGAAGGTCGGTCCCAGCGTCAGCGAGCAGATCGTGAAAGCTGTGGCCGCTTCCAAGGAACGCAGCGGCGTGTCTGCTGCCGCCCTCAAAAAGGCTCTGGCTGCCGGAGGATACGATGTGGACAAGAACAAAGCCCGCGTCAAGACCGCCATCAAGAGCCTGGTGGCCAAGGGGACCCTGGTCCAAACCAAGGGAACCGGCGCCTCTGGATCTTTCAAGATGAGCAAACAGGCTGACACCAAGAAGCCCGCCAAGAAAGCCGCTCCGAAAGCTAAAAAGCCCGCCGCCAAGAAACCCGCCGCGGCCAAAAAGCCCAAGAAGGTGGCTGCAGCCAAGAAGCCCGCAGCTGCAAAGAAGTCTCCCAAGAAGGTGAAGAAGCCCGCCGCGGTCAAGAAGGCAGCAAAAAGCCCCAAGAAGGCTGCCAAGAGCCCCAAGAAGGTGGTGAAGAAGGCCCCCGCAGCCAAGAAAGCTCCAGCAAAGAAGGCAGCCAAGCCCAAAGCTAAGAAGGCAGCTCCCAAGAAGAAGTGAACTCTGCTGCATTGAACTCAAAGGCTCTTTTAAGAGCCACACATCCTCTAAACAGCTGCATCCTATTTAAGTTGAAAGAAAGGCACTTTTTATACTTTTGTACTAGTTTTTGAATATACATTCTTGTTTTTGTGGCAGAACCCTGCTCATAAAGTGACAACAAAAAACGTTTCTTAGAGCATCATCAATGTATTAAAACACTTTCATTAAACTGTAAAAAGCAATAATATCTGTCAAATAATTGTTGTAACATGACATTAAATGCATTAAAGTTGATGATTTCTGCAGGAAGTTTGTATCTTAAATATGATATGGACTACTGAAAGTGTTTCAATTTGATTCAGCTCAGTAATTAATATTTTTATTCTCAGTAATCGTTGACACAGTGAGTCATCCGCTACCTCCATGTTCGTTATGTTCGATACCAGGATTTTGTGGTCCGATGCGATACCGGGTAAAATCCTTGTGGGTACCGATCGGTGGTATCGATACTGACACTTCGCAAACACTCCTAATGTGTCACGTACACCTAAATAAAATATTCACATCAAAGTTGCATCAAGAATGCAAGACAAAGTTATTTATTTTAAACTCAGGAGTATGTTGATGCAGTGGCCTCATTTAGTCTGAGTTTATAAAACAAGTGAAAAAGATTTTTCAAACAAGAAAAAGTAAAATCAAAACTATTAAAATAAATTATTAAATATCTATTAAATGAGATGTTTAAGATGTTATATTTTTATCTGCATTTTTGTAATATATATTTTTCAGAGTTCACCAAGGCTGTTTTATCTCCATTGCTCTGTATAATTTGATGACACCAGGTCCATGTAATCCACTTTAAATAATAAATTCTTTATGAAACCTTACCTGAATAAATAGGCTTTTTTACCCATGTGAGATTAGCTCAGTGATACACATTATTACTCCAAACTGAACTCATGCAACTATTTGTTGCAGCATGAATTAATTTAGTTAATTATTTCATAACCATATGTATTAATTTGAACTACTCCAACTGCAGCAATCTTAGCACTGCTGAAAGCTCCACATTTCCTCCCTCTGTACCTGGATAGTCCTACAGCCCTGAGGGACTCCTCCAGAGCCTGTCTTATCCTGCAGCAACAGCACATGACTCTTTGCTCTCTCTCTGCCTCATATTCTGTTTTGTGATTTAACAGGAAGTGTTTTACAAGGTTTGTTGTGTTGCTTCAGCTCTTTACAGATTTTCTACAAACCTCACAAATCCCTTCTTGGCTGTTTCAGGAGCTGAAATAGCTTCACACACGACTCTGTTACAGTTGCCAGGTGAGAAATGTAGGATTATCGTACTAGAGACATAAAATTATCGTATTTTGAGGGAAATTATTTTACACCCGTCATAACCAGAATAACAAATCTATTAATGCACTATAGTAGTGATGGGTCCACTTCCAGATCGGCTTTGCTTCTTCTTCTTTTCTTTTTTTCTTTTCCTCACTCATGCGGCGGGCGCAGCGGACTAGTCATCCAATCATGGCCGTTGTTCTGAGGCAAACGCAAATACGTCACTCGTAGGTCACATTTAGAAAAGCACGATTGGCTGGAATGATGTAACGTTTGGGAGAAGTCAGTGGGGTAGTCAGATATGTTTTTCATTTGGAAGTAATAAATCAGCTGGTGTAGCTATCCTGCAAGGTAAATTTAAAGGGACAATTCTAAAACAAGAAACAGATGCTGAAGGCCGATGGATTATACTCTTGACTGAAACCGATCAATCACACTTTTTTAATTATCAATACATATGGATGCAATAATAAGCAATACAACAAACAGTTATTTTTGACCTTAGAAGAAAAAAACTTGAACAAATATTGCATTCATTTCCCACTGCTAAAATTTTATGGGGAGGAGACTTTAACACAGTGATGGATGATAATCTGGACAGATGGCCCCCTAAGAACCAGACATTAACTGAACTACATCATATCTGTAACAGATTAGGAATCATTGATATATGGAGATCTAGACATTCAGACAAAACCTCCTACACATGGAACAATAAAAACAGGACACAGACATCTGTGTGACTGAGTCCTGAGAGAGTGAATGGTTGTTTGTCTCGTGTGTCTCTATGTGGCCCTGTGATGGACTTGCGACCCGTCCAGGGTGTACCCCGCCCCTCACACAGTGATTGCTGGACATGGGCACCAGCAACCCCCGTGACCCAAAATGGAATAAGCGGGTTAAGATAATGGATGGATGGATGTTTATAGAGTCAATACTGAGAGGTGAACTACCCCCAACTCTCCAGCAGGGGTTGATTAAACTCATCCCCAAACCCCAAAAAGATAAATTGAGTATTGAAAATTGGAGACCAATTAGTCTTCTAAATAATGACGCTAAAATATTTGCAATCATCTTTGCCAAACGACTGAAATTAGGTTTAAATTAGATTATTGGTGAAGAGCAATCTGGATTTATGCCTGGAAGAAACATTAGTAACAATATTCGACTAATATTAGGACATGATTGATTACAATGAATTTATACTTGATGACAGCTTTATTCTTTTTATTGACTTCTATAAAGCATTTGATAACGTAAGTCATAAATGTATGTTCAAATCTATTAAATATTTTGGATTCGGAGACTATTTTTCAAAAGCATTAATACCCCGTATCAGGGCTGTAACAGCTCTGTCAAGTTGGCACATGGGACAACGAGAAGATTTAACATCAGTCGAGGTATTAGACAAAGGGTGTCCTTTAAGTCCATTCCTATTTCTTCTTGTTACACAGATCATGTCTGTACATATTAAAAAAGCTCTATTTCAGGGTATCTCAGCTCTAGACATACACTTCAAATGATCACAACTGGCTAATGATACTACAGTATTTATCTCTAATGTACATGAAGTGAGTAAAGCAACTGATTGTATCCAATAATTCTCTTCAGTATCAGGCCTAAAAATGAACCTTAATAAATCTGTTCTGTTCCCACTAAAAAAAACTGCACACTGACAGAAATTAACGGTAATTCTGTTAAAGAGAAATTTACATATTTAGGAGTGGTTATTGAGAAAAATCTAAATTTGCGTAGCAGTTCAAACCTTGGTCCCATTATAGAACAAATAACAAACAAATTTAACATGTGGCTAATGAAAGACCTGTCATTAAATGGAAGGGTGTTACTGTCAAAAGCTGAGGGAATCTCAAGATCTGTGTATACTTCCTTATCTTTAGAAATGCCAAAGAATGTATGCAAAAAGCTAATAAAAAACATTATTTGACTTTATATGGAAACACAAATGTCATTACTTAAAAAAAGATATTCTCTGTAATAACAAAACATCTGGTGGATTAGATGTCCTAAATTTTGAAATGCTAAATAACTCCTTTAAAATTAAATGATTAACCAACTTATTAAAAGGAAACGATACGCTGTGGAACACTTTCTCCAACCATGTTTTTAATCAGGTAGGTGGACTCCAATTCTTATTAAAATGTGATTATAAAATTGAAAAGTTACCTATAAAATTGTCAAAATTTCACCAACAGGCTCTCCTGGCTTGGAAACTTGCCTACAAACACAACTTTTCTCCAACTACGTGCTACACTTGGAACAACGGGAATATTTTGTATAAGAATAAGTCACTTTACTATAAAAACTGGATGGAAAATGGAATTATTCTTGTCCAACAGCTGTTAAATGATAACGAAACCATTTTGTCATACACTGAATTTCTGACCAGATTTAACACACCTACAGAGCATGCTGTAGTTTTTGATGCTCTACCAAACTCCATGATGCAACTCTTCAAAGGAACAAAACCTGATTGTTCATCTAGAGACCAGCTTAGAAGCCCCATAAAAAACGTGCTCCAACAAACTTATAAGATCATGTCTGCAGAAGAATACTTTACCTCCTGGTAGATTTTTTTTTGGTCCTCTACTTTTGGAGAAATTAAGTGGAAACAAGTTTGGTTGAATGGAGAAATTTTTTCATAACAAATAAAGTTAAAGAGGTTTCATATCAAATCAATCATAACGTATACCCTGTTAAAAAAAACCCTGGAAAGATTTAAATTTGGTATTGACTGCTCTTGTACATTTTGTGAATGGAAACAATTTCTCGTTTATTCTATCATTGTAATCACACAAAGACGTTCTGGACAGATGTACAACAACTCATACAACAGAAAACTGGACAAATAATTGAACTTACAGAGAAAGACATTATATTATGCTTCGACAATAAGGATATGGACAAAGACTTGATCTACTTCACCCAACTTCTTCTTCTCCTGGGAAAATTCCACATTCACAAGAAAAAGTGGTCGAACTCCAAATCAAGCATAACCCACTTCAGCAGAACTTTACATATACAGCACCACTATTAAAGGACTGGAAAACAAAAAGGCAATGAAAACCAACTCAGTTCTAGAAAAACTTAATGTGAATTTATCTGTATAACATATAAATAGATTGTGTTATATCTTTAGAATTTTTTACCCTTTGTACCATTTTACAACCAAATTGTTCTTTTTATACTTTTGTACCTACTAATATACCCCTGGCAGTCAGTTGTTTGTAAAATTGATAAAGTTTTGTAATAAAAAATAAAAAATAAAAAAAAGATTGGCTGGAATTTCCTGGAATGCCCTGTAACATCCTCTTTGGTCTTCTGCTGCATCATTTTGCAACATTTGGTTTTACTTTAATTCAGTTCAGTTTATATTGCACCAAATCACAACAAAGTTGTCTCAGGGCATTTTACAGGGACATTCACATACACAGAAAAGCCAATTAGTAAGGTTCTCTATCTAAGGAAGCCAGCAGACATGTTGAATTTTGGCTTCGTTGCAGTCTCCCATCCTAAGCAAGCACAATGGAAACAGTGGAACGGAAAAACTCGCTTTTTAAAGGAAGAACACAACAACTCTATGACTTGTTTGTATTTTCTTACTTGTTGTGAGGTAATTTTCATATAGTGTGCTTAAAATATGTTTTTATTATCAATAAATGAATGAATGAATAGTTAAAGAAATAAGCAGGCCTACACTTCATTGTAAAGAAAAAGTTAAATATGCTGTTTATTTCTGACTTCTAGAGCTTCACTTCAAACTATTTTCTGTGATATTGTTGCTCTCAAAAACAGAAGCCTCAGTTTATAGATTAGAGGAGCAGTGAACCGTAGAGATGTTTCAGGTCTCCCGCTCTTTTTGTTCTGTTGTTTAACTGAGCGCCAGCCACATTCATTTAACTTGCAGTTACCATGGCAACATGGTCTTCCCGCTTCAAGGCTGCTGAGAGCTCAGCCAATCACAGACGGGTGACAGCACAGCTGTATTAGCTTGGTGTGTGAATAAGACAAGCCCGTTCTGCCTTTGCGGACATTCATCGTTGGAAACTCCGATAGAAAAATGCCTGAACCAGCAAAGTCTGCGCCCAAGAAGGGCTCCAAGAAAGCGGTGACCAAGACCGCCGGCAAGGGAGGAAAGAAGAGGAGAAAGACCAGGAAGGAGAGCTACGCCATCTACGTCTACAAGGTGCTGAAGCAGGTCCATCCCGACACCGGTATCTCCTCCAAGGCCATGAGTATCATGAACTCGTTCGTGAATGACATCTTCGAGCGCATCGCCTCCGAGGCTTCCCGCCTGGCTCACTACAACAAGCGCTCCACCATCACCTCCAGGGAGATCCAGACCGCTGTGCGCCTCCTGCTGCCCGGGGAGCTGGCCAAGCACGCTGTGTCTGAGGGCACCAAGGCTGTGACCAAGTACACCAGCTCCAAGTAAACTTGCTCTTCATCATCTGAAACCAAAGGCTCTTTTAAGAGCCACCCACATCCTTCTTCTAAAGAGATAATCTGGCAATATTGTTAAATGCTTTAGTAGCACTGAAAAATGAACCAGAAACACTATCCAGGGACTGTTTTCTCATGTGTGTTAAAGAAAACTAAATAAATATTAAGATACTTACTGGTCCAGTTGTCAATTATTTTTGCATCGTACTTATTCATGATGACAAAAACTAATATTGAGCAATCTTGTCAAAATATTCTCAGTACAATAACTGAATCTATCAAGACTAATGTTCTGCAAATATCTTGTCAAGTGTACTAGAAACGCATGAACATTGAATGAGTGGTTGTTTTGTTTGTGGTTAGTATTACTTGGAATGGAAGTACTGGTGTGTGTGTGTGTCTGTGTGTGTGAGTATTTGAATTCATTCTGTATTTGTCGGAGGTGCTTCTGTGATATTTTAATTCGGATAAACGATCTGAACAAAATTAAGACGACATTTTGTACCTCTGTCCACATCAATACATATTCCAATGTCAAAAACCACATTCAGTACCAGACCGTCTGGTAAATGAGGCTAAATTTTAAAATTCTCAGTAGCTCAGAAGAGATTAAATATTTTAATGTCAGGAGGTTAATCAGCAACCAGTCGGCTGAGGATGCTAGAAATCTTTCACATCTAAAGTGTACACATAATTGTCATTTGGAAACCATCTAAATTCACATTGTTTTTGTTTGAATTTTACAGTTTCATGATATTTAGGAACAATAGGTGACAGGAAAAGACGCAGTGCTCGGAACAGATTGTGAAACACTTTTGGTTTTTCCATCTCATTCATATTTGTCACAAATCTCTTACCCAGAGAACATCTGAATTCAGAAGTATTTTCATACCACTAGTTTTACTGACAGATCCTTTATCCGTCTTGTTTTTCAGGTTAACATGTTTAGTTACATGATTACTGGAAGAACAATGTTTGTTAAACAATTAACCACCTTCATTTCAGTGCTTTTTGTGTTTGATACGATTGCTTTGCTGTGGAGGCCATCTTGAAATAGACTGATTCTACAGTATGTTAATCAGTTGACCCAATGATTACTTTCTGAAAATCTGTTTAAAATTATTGATTCTTGAGACTTTTTTTCTAACTATGAACAAACCAAAAGGAGGCACACACGCGCATCGGGACAATAATTTCTAATTTTGGTCGTTTGGTGGCGCTACTAAACCCACAAACGTTAAAAATAAACCACCAAAGAAGAAGAAAATTGGCTCCTCCCTTGTCCTCTAACACGTCCTCCGTACTGACATAAACGTCGTTGACTCCGGCTTGGGTTCATCACTAACACTTTTCGGAGCATCAGTGAAAATGTCTGGAAGAGGAAAAGGAGGTAAAGGACTCGGCAAAGGAGGCGCTAAGCGTCACCGCAAAGTCCTCCGCGACAACATCCAGGGAATCACCAAGCCCGCTATTCGCCGTCTGGCTCGCCGTGGTGGAGTCAAGCGTATCTCGGGTCTGATCTACGAGGAGACCCGCGGTGTGTTGAAGGTTTTCCTTGAGAACGTGATCCGTGATGCCGTCACCTACACCGAGCACGCTAAGAGGAAGACCGTGACCGCCATGGACGTGGTTTACGCCCTGAAGAGACAGGGTAGAACCCTGTACGGCTTCGGAGGTTAAACCCAACCGTTTCCTGAACAAACCAAAGGTCCTTTTAAGGGCCACACAAGAATACCCTTCAGAGCTTCTGTTCTTTACTTGTCTTTGTTGACAGGCATTGTTCATACTAGGATTTCTGATCTGATACCAATACTTTGTAAAATACATGTTGGTACACACATTACCGATACCAGCACTTTGTACAAATATGCCTGTTGGGTAGATTTAAAAAAGGAAAATCCAAGACCAAAAAAATTTATGTATTTAAAACTCGTGTATTTTAAGGGAATGTCCTTATTTATACAACAGAAAATTAGTTATACAAACTGAAAATGTTGTTTCAAACTATATTAAAAACAAAAAAAATGTTTACATTTTTTTTATAAGTCAAATGTGTTAAACATTTGTATCAGTCCTAGTCTAGTATACATTTTTCAGAGTTAAGTAGGTTTTCACTGTTGGCTCTATAATTTGACACCTAGTTTTTGTCTTGGCAAGAAAGTTTTTAAAACGTACATTGTTTAAACTCCAGTAATCTGTTTTTCTGAATTGTACTGAAGCTCATTAGAATGCAATTTGAAAACACATTTGTCCAGTTTACAAAAAATGCATGATTTTATTAACCCAATAAATTAGTTTTTTTTGTTTGTTTTTTTTCCTAGTGACAAACTCAAATTACACCTTTTTTAAAGTAATTTTTTTTTTTTTTTATTAATAACACACAGAACTACAAAACACTACAAAAGAGAAAGATATATACAAACACTCGTGAAGGGTGTCAGAACTACAGTTTACAAGCTAGGGGGGGTTACAAAATGATAAAAATTGAGTAATACATATATAAAAAACATTAAATGAAAAGAATAAACATAAGAAACAAAAAGGAGCAAAACAATATGAGAAACTTAAAACAAGTTTTTTGATATCTGTTGTGAAATGGTTCTAGCAGTTTTCCAGTTTTTTAATCTACTTATTGAAGAATAGTACAACTTGAATTTGTTCATAAAACACGGGAAGGAGGGCTGATTGTCCCTCCAATTACTACAATGAATGTGATACTTTGCTATAAGGATGACTATATTATAGCATCGGAGTAAGCTGAGCTTAAATTATCCATATAAAATAAAATGGCATCAGCATCAAAGGGAGGCATGTTCAGTTTTAGATTAATCCAGTTTGTAATGTCAGTCCAGAAACTTTGTGAGTATTGACATGAAAAAAACAAATGTTCAAGGGATTCATCTTCAGATTTACAGAAGGTACACAAATCCACCTCAAATTTAAATCTTGTGTGCAGAAGCATGGCTACTGGGTAGATCTTATTTATTATTTTAAAATGGTTTTCTTTCACTTTAGGAGATATAGGCCATTTGACAAATTTTGAATGAGCAGAAGTCATTATGGTTTTATGATTTATATTGGGAGGTTTCTTGAATGAATCTTTGTTGTAATCATAGTAAATCGTTTGTCGCATGCATTCATTGATCATCTTATTACATTTGAGATCAACTAAACTACAGTCATTTAGTTTTAATGTGGGCATGGAAACGGTCACCTTTGGATACATGATGATATTTTTAATTAACTGAATCAAGGCTAAAGGGATTGCTTTACATACCTTCATAAAATCTTTATGGCAGCAGCTAAGGTTATATTTTCTAACAAAAGATGAGAAATTTAAAAGATCTCCATTACAATCCAAGATGTCTGTTACAAAAATGATGCCTTTTTTATACCAGTCTTTTCTAAATATTGACTTTCTGCCCACTGTGATTGCTCTATTATTCCACAAAGTTGATCCATGAGGTGAGAAATTATGGTGAAATATCATTTTCCAGAACTGAAGAACTTGTTTGTGGAAGTTTGATAATTTAACTGGAATCTTCGTCACTTCGAAGTCACACCTTGCAAGGAAGTCAATTCCTCCCAGCTGCTTAAAAATGGAGGCAGGGATATGAAACCACCATATGAATTTTGTTGTTGTAAAAAAGTTTTTAACCATTTAGTCCTAAATGTTCCAACCATTGCTTCAAAGTCTAGTGCATTGATACCACCATGCTCATGTTTTTTAACTAGTTGGGACCTTTTAACATAATGAGTCTTATTTTTCCACAAAAACTGAAAGATAATAGAGTTGGCTTTTCTTATGTTTTGTGGTGATATATACATAGAATGACATGGATAAACAGCCTTGGAAATGCCATCTGCTTTAGTCAACAGGTTCCTTCCAAAAATATTCAGATCTCTTGTCAACCAACGGCTAAGACAGTTTCATATCTACTAAGCGGTTTGAGATGTTCTCATCTTCCCTTCTAACTGCGTTTTTAGATACTAGTACACCCAAATATTTAACTTCATGTACGACTCTGATTGACTGGATGTTTTGATGAATACAGTTATGAATGGGAAGGATCTCACATTTGTTAATGTTAAGTCCAAGACCTGAAGCCTTAGAGCCTTAGAGAATAGTGAAATTGTATTAAGGGCTTTTCAACCATTAAATCATTTTTTAAAAACAATGCTGTGTCATCAGCAAATTGACTAATCTTGTATTCTCTATCAAAAACGTTAATTCCCTTTAACTCAGGATTGCTATTAACTTGAAGAGCTAGTAATTGAGTAGTCAAGATAAACAATTTTGAGGAGATAGGACAACCCTGACGAATGCCTTGCTGGATCTTAAATCTAGAAGTAAGAACTGGATTTAAAGAGACTGAGCTATAGATATCATTATAAAACATCCTAATTAATCCACAAAATGAATCACCAAAACCCAAAAACCTTAAAGTCTCTAACAAAAAAGCGTGTTCAATTGTGTCGAATGCCTTGTAAAAATCAAGAAACAGGATCACACTATCATTATCAAGGCAGTCACAATACTCCAACATATCAAGGACCAGTCTAATATGATTGTGTATATTTCTGTCTTTAACAAAGGCTGATTGACTTTCATCAATTATATCTTTAAATCCTCTATTCAGCCGATCGGCATAAACATGAGCTAAAATTTTATAATCTGTGCATAGCAGAGTGATGGGTCTCCAGTTATCCAGCATTTGCACATCTTTATTAGGTTTTGGGATTAATGTGATTATCCCTTGTTTCATAGTATTAGAGAGGTTACCTGATGAGATACAGTCTAAGAAAGCTTTATAAAGCATCTCTCTAATCTCTTTCCAAAAGAATCTATAAAATTCAGTTGTTAGCCCATCCAAGCCAGGCGACTTCTCAGTAGACATCTCCAAAATAGCCTTATCCAACTCCTCAAGTTCAATTTGTTTTTCCATAAATTGTTTAAAATCTAGATCAATTGCTTTATTGAATTCTCTTATGGTGTTTATAAATGTTGAACAGTTTGTCTCAGAGTAGTTGGATTTATATAAATTACTGTAAAAATTATGTAATTCTCTATTAATCTGAGTTTCATCTTCAGAAACAGATCCATTTATATTCAACTTAGTGATTTTTTTTTTAGTTGCCAGGTTGAAAAAATAAGATGTATTTTTCTCCCCTTCTTCAATCCAGCGAGCTCGAGAACGTATAAAAGCACCTTTAGCTTTTTCTTCATATAATTTATCTAGTTCACTCTGTAATTTATTTAGTTCAACAAGTTCTTCAGGTGACAGATCCGTCTTTTTACTAAGACTATTAATATTTGTAATGATATTAAATTGTTGTTGTTGTTTCAGTTTAGACAGTTTTTTACTTGTATCAATAGCCAGCTCCCTTATTTTAAATTTGAACCATTCCCATTTACTCACAGCTGACATTTCCAAGGCATTGACCTCCACCACCAGCTGCCTGACTTCTTCACCAAAAACAGAATTCTGCAAAAGAGTATTATTGAATTTCCAAACAGGAGTTAGACCAGGATCTGACCTTGAAAACAGAAGAGATAGAGAAATAACACAATGATCAGTTAAAGGTGCAGCAGATATCTCACACTTATTAATATGATTTATCAAAGAATTAGAAATGAGCCAGTAATCGATTCTAGAGCTTAGACCATTCCCAGAGGCATTAAACCAGGAAAACTGACAAGTCCCAGGATGTTTAACTCTCCAATAATCAATCAAATTTGCACTATTCATTAATTGAACAATCAGGTCATCATATTTATGACAGTGGACCCGAGGTGGATTTCTGTCTAACCATGGATCGGGCACCAAATTAAAATCACCCCCAACTATAACTTTATCTGTTGAGTAAGAATGCATACTATCTGTAATATGTTGACATAAGTCAGATATCAAAGTTTTGTTTTTGCCTCTTTCATTGTAACCATAAACACACACCAAAATAAAGTTTTCATCATTAATTTCTGTTATCACCATCAGCCAGTGCCCGTTTGTGTCACTAGTACGATGTAAAATTTTGCCTGGAAATCTGTTCAACAGAATCATAACACCCGCTGAGTGTGACGTCCCGTGACTGAAAAAAACAGAATCACCCCACTGTAACTTCCAAAAGTTCACATCGTCTTCACCAGAGTGAGTTTCTTGTAGGAAAACACAATTAGCCCTTTGCTCCTTACAAAAAAGAAAAACAGCTTTTCGTTTCACATTGTTTTTAAGCCCCCTAGCATTTAAAGAAATAAAAGATAATATACCTAAAAACTTTTGAGGTAGAACACGGAATCATAAGATGTGCAGGAATGAGAAATCTTGTCCCATCTACTATCTGAATAAGGTGCATTTAACTTTTAAGGCATATCAGGTGAATCGAAACTCTATCTATCTATTGTTATCATTTATCGTAATAAGACTGAATAAAATTCAGAGTGAAAAGCTCAGTGAGTGTCTATGAAGGGTCGACTCTCCGGTTGTTGATCAGAGTGTAACCTTCCTTCAGGAAAGCTCTCTGCCCTCGTTGTCTGGCATCTCGTACCAGCGGCCACAACTTCTTGCGAGCTTCCCTGTCCTCTTTGGAGAAATCTTCTTTGAACTGGATACGCTTCTCCTGACAGACCCTGGCATCCTTGGATCTCTTCCAGACCTCGTCTCGAACCGTTCTTGCCACGAACTGGATTATTATTGACCGCGGAG